GTAAATGTCAGGGTAATTTTTGAAAATTTTCCATATGCTATATTCAGACGCCATTATCTCGAAAACGGTTAAAGATAGGTATGTTATGTTACATAAAAAATTATCAGAATTTGATGGAGAATTGAATAAAAATACAGAAAAGAGGGGTTTCCATTTAAAAAAGTTGGCCTTGATTTCATAAGTTTTTTTTGGGCCACTCGGTATAAATGAAAATTGCTTCAGAAAATGCGCAACTAAAAACATAATTCGACGGGTACGAGCGATTTTTCAAATAACGAACATCTCATTTTTAAATAAATATATTCCATACATTTGTCGCTCACTATATACATATCGTGCATCCAGTTCAATACTGCCGTAACTGCAAATTTTTAATTTTTGATTTTATGGCGGTATTTCAGTGCCAACATGTTTAACTTCGAAATGAAATATAGCCACAAGTGATTAAGTTTTAAAATAGACCATATTTTGCAAATATGGCAGATATGGCGCAGATGTGACTTTAAAATATTAAAATTTCAGTGCAATAACGCCATATCTAACAAAATTCTAATATTATCTCAGTCTATAATTCTTCTATGTATGGTTATATATCAGCAACATGTAAGTATACTCTATCAAAATTTTAAACAGCTAATTAATTATGGAACTAATTAAACAACACCACTGTTTTATTTCCTTCTACTCAAAAATGTTATAATTTACACTTGTGGCGGTATTGAACTGGATGTACGATATGTAATCACATAAAACTTTGTCTATTACTTTTCCTTCAAGTAAAAGCAAATTTGTGTAAAACTAACTTGCACAGATTTCCATCCATGCCTTTAACCATTTTAGACCTTCTAATTTCTAGACGCACAGACCACTTTCATGAAAAAACAAATTCAATCTGGGATTTCAAAAAAGTAGTGCATGTATAAATATGCAAAATCTTCTATTTCTGTCATAATCAACTAATAACTACAATTAACTTGTTTATTTGTTGAGTTAGTATTCCTTTTCTGAACTTGACATGGATATGCTATTTTTTACTAGTGCTATTTTTATGCTAAATTACACCACACAAAAAAAAAGTTGTTTGTATGAATTTAAAAGATGAAGAAAATTAAATTCTGTGAAAAATCAATCCTTTCTGAGATCTCCGCTATTTAAATTTAATACATATATTTTTCCTCTATTTTAAAATAATAATTATTCCAGTCACAGAAAAGGGCAGCTTTTGGGCAAACAAACTGCTGTTTTTGTTCACTCTATCGCTTCCGACCTCTTTCTTTAATAATTCTTGAATAATTCATTAAAAATGTACCTTTAGAAATCACTTTTAGTTTTGATCCTGAAGGTTTGTCGCAATGTCCTGTATATCAAAATCNTTTTCCTCTATTTTAAAATAATAATTATTCCAGTCACAGAAAAGGGCAGCTTTTGGGCAAACAAACTGCTGTTTTTGTTCACTCTATCGCTTCCGACCTCTTTCTTTAATAATTCTTGAATAATTCATTAAAAATGTACCTTTAGAAATCACTTTTAGTTTTGATCCTGAAGGTTTGTCGCAATGTCCTGTATATCAAAATCTATCTTGATGAACATTTTTCTAAGCATCAGCAGGAAGCATGTAATGTTGTTTTACGGTGAAAAAAATATATATTTGTAGTGTATGAACAGAATAAGTGTGCAAGTGTATGACTGCCCGTATCAATTTATTTCTTTAAGGGTCGGTTTTTCTCACTAACAAATAAAATTAATTAGGAGGTGGAAAAACCGGTCCAAAATATAGTATTCTAATTTTCATCTTATACCTACAATAATTATAGGTTAAATTGTTACGCTTTATTAAATTTAATTTTTTTATATAAAGGCCAAATTAATCGTGAATAAATTTATGCATTGATAAATAATGTTTTATTTAATAACCATTAAATGTTTTTCAGAAAAACGTTTAAACTTCCTCTTGTTACCCTACTGTTATTTATAGGCAACAACATACAGCAAAATAGCATGCATACACCAATCGCTGGCATTAAAACCGATTAAAAATGTCATGGGAATTGTATGTTTGTAAATATGGACAGTATTGACGTGTCAGGGACAGCAGTGCCAAAATTTAGAAAAAAGAACCAACCTTGCCTGTCTCAGCTCAAAGATCTACATTTTTCAACCCGATAAAAGAAGTCAAAGTTTCGGTAGATTTTTCCCATACCTTATTTCAAATTATTTTGCAGTACGTGCACAATTCCTACAAGAAGATACAACTTTTAGAAACAATTTTAAGTCAAAGATCGTTCACATAAGTGCATTACTGTACGATTTATTGAAACATGAAAAACTCGATTTTTCCAAAAACTATCAAATATTTTGCAAGAAAATGCTCTCATTCTACTGGCCAAGGACTATATATTCTGAAAGTTTCGTAAAAAAATCTTTTTTCGTTTTAAAAACATACAAGTTTTAAAAAAATGCGATTTTTAACCGTTTTTTGCTATAAAGTTTTACAACTTTTGTTGTTGATTTTTTTCTAAAATGTTTTTTTTTATATGAAAAAAAACGTGGGATGAAGTACCTAGTCTAGTTCATTCGATTCTACAAAATTTTTCCTAATCTTTGCATGTCTTTGTTTATTGAACTAAATTCTGGCACGTAAAAATCTAATTTGATTGTACTATTCCGACTTATTCCTGTTTATTACCACATTCCCATTTATTTCTACTTATTCCAATGTATTCCGTTTAATACAGATCGTCAAATAAATACAGTAACTGAAAGTTCATAGCATCTGGATCGTTTATATAATGTTTTAGTTTAATTTATTGTGGGTTCTTATTACAAATGTTTCTATATTTTTCAAGCATTCTCGGACTCTAGAAAGTTTGACTCCATTTACTTTTTTACTTCAAAGGCTGATTTAAACATTTTTCAAATTTTATTTCTACTTCACACTTAGAGCATATACTTCATGCTTACGGCGATAGTGTAGACGAGTGACAGAGAAAAAGAGATAGTTTGGGTACTACCTTTCTCTCTCGAGCAGGCACGTGATTGGCTAACGCAACTCCCTCGTAATCCTCGAACATGTACTATTGGAGGTAGTTGCCCAATGACCTGGCGTGTTACAAGGTGAAAAGAGAGACAGCCTCTATGAAGGTACACGCTATCTCTCTCTTGCCGAACATGTTTGCTAACGACTGATCCCCTCTACGACTACACGACAACAGCCAAGCACATTCGGCGAGAAAGAGATAGCATATACCTTCATAGCTGATATGTATTTCTATATAGAAGTCAAGGATAGCCTCCTTATAAATATATTCCTCATTCAAACTTACACCCTGTATAATGCCTATAGGAACATAACGTAAAAAAATAAAACTTTTCAGGAGGGTAGAGTTAAAATATATTTTATTTATTTTTGATGGATAATCAAAAGTAAAATTTAATAACTTATCTTTAATTGCTTAATTTTTTTACAAATTACGACTTTCTTTCAAGTTTATTCTTCAGGCCAAGCTAGGTCGATATTAGTAACGTCTAATGCAGCAACATCAATGGGAAATTTTAATATTGAGTTTAAACTAGGTTGCGTCCTTTGGAAGTCGCCATTTACAAACTCCTTAACGTAAGTACCGGCTTGTGTTATTAGTTTGATCTCGATTAAATCAGAGTAACCTAAAATTAAACGTATATATAATACGGCTCGATAATTTTATAGTCAGCAAGCCACTATA